GGAGTGGCCAGATTGCTTTTGTCTTCAGGAGTTCCCACAGAGTCCCAAGTCAGATGAGGATCAGATGCTCTCAGGCTTTCTCCTAAGGTCTGGATCCCTCCAGGAAAGATTTTGGCCTCAGGAATTTGGGGGTTGGACTGGCCTGGGAGCAGGGCCCAGGAAAGGTGCTGGTCTTGGGCAGCTGGTGGCCATGCCACCCAGAGATGCAAAGGGAGATGGGGGCAGGAAGAACCCCCAAGGGCTCCTGAGGACTGCACTGAGGAGCTGGGTTGGTCTGGATGCAAAGGATCAGGAAGCTGAAAAGTCAGCCCTGGAGTCCAGGAAAGAGGTTGGTGGGTTGTGTAGCCCAGGGAAGCAGAGGGAGGTGAGGGTGGGACCAGGCCCAGGGGGCTCCTGGGGACCTTGAGAAGGAACTGGGTCCAGCTGGATGCAAGGGATCAGGAAACAGTGGTGGCCCTGGGCCAAGAGGTCAGCATAGGTGTCCAGGAAAGAGGCTGGCAGGTTGTGCAGCCCAGGGAAGCAGAGGGATGTTCAACTTTAAAAAGAAAGTTGAAAAGCTTCGCTTTGAAAAGTGTTGAAAATTTCTGCATCGGGTTGAGTGTAACCACAGAATGTGAGCTTAGCCCCCCAACACGATCTTCTCAGTGCTGTACCCCCAAGTGTGTGCTCAGCCTTGCCAAGCTGGTGGACAGAGTATCCATGGACTAGAAACTTAGTTATTGGACATCAGGTTTTTTCGCCTTGAGACCAGGTCCTCCGTCTGCAGTCGTGGGCTGGCCTGGATCTCAGTACATCTGTAGCCTAACCCAGCGTGGACTCTGTGGTAACCTCCTGCCTTGGCCTCCTGAGTGCTGGGATTGCATGTGCCTCCTTACGTAGCTTAGTTGGGTTTTTCAGAAACAAGGTGTACCAGTCACTCTGTTGCTGTGGTGAAACACCATGACCAGCAACAGAGTTAGCCCATAATGGTGGGGGAGGCAGGCGGCAGGGAGCATCCTGAAACTGGCTTCACAGGTCATCACACAAGAAACAGAGGCAGCAACTGGGGGGGGGGGGTGCTGTAAGCCTTCAAAACCCACCCCCAGCAAAGCTCCACCTCCTGACAATTCCATAACCTCCCCAAACGAAACAGCACCACCAATCAGGGGCCAAGTGTTCAAACACATGAGCCCTGGAGACAGTGCTCATTCAAATTCAGAAGCATCTTCCGTTAGTCTCTCTAGACTAGTTTGTGTTCTGTCTTTATTTACCTCATAAAAATAAAAAAGGAAAGCCAGGTTCACATTAAGAAAGACTAAACGCTGTGCCCCCACCCCCCAAACAGGCTGTATCAATCAGTGAAAATTCTGTATTCCTTCGGCATTTTCGTGACCTATTCAATCCAGTTCTACGTCCCAGCAGAGATCCTTATCCCCGGAGTCACTGCCAGGCTTCACAGCAAGTGGAAGCACGCCTGTGAATTTGGGATACGGTCCCTCCTGGTTAGCGTCACCTGTAAGTATCAGTGCATGCTCCTGTCAGAATAACTATTTCATGTGTGCGTGAGGATTGCTTTTATGATGCATTTTGATGTTTTGTGGTTGTTTTTGAAAGGGGAGTTACTATAGCCCAGCATAGCAGCCCTCCTGCCTCAGCCTCCGGAGTGCTGGGATTATAGGCTTGTACCTCCACCCATGGCTTAGAGCTGAGCTTTTGCCAGAGTTGCACAGGGTGAGCTAGGCCCTGCTCCATATACCACATCAGGTCATCACTTGGTTAAGGTACCTTGGCATTTCTCTATTGCAAAGACACTGTGTTTCCATTTAAATTAGTAAGTGTCCAATAGGGAGATAGTTTGAGACTGTGCACATATCCAGATCTTATCCAGTTTTTTTCAGTGCTAGGAATCAAACCCGGGCCTTGCACATACCAGCCAGCCCTCTACCACTGAGCTACATCCCCAGCCCTTGGTTTTTGAGACACATCCTCACAATGTTGCCCAGGCTGACCTCAACCTCATGATCTGAACTCAGAAGCCTGCCTTCTGGGGTTAGATGCAGTCTTGGCCACTAACTGCAGCATCTTTTTGCCTCTGTGATGCTCCCTTGTGGACTTTGTCCTGCATTCTGCCTTCTGCCATGGTTAACGGGAATCCTGCTGTGGGAACAGAGCCTGTCCTTTCCCATTTGGTCACAGCAAACCACCCAGTTCTGTGTATAGACTGTCCAGTAGCAGAGCAAAAAGTTACATGAGAAGCCTTGTTCATAAGTGAGTCAGGACATGTCAGTCCCCCTTCTGAGCTCAGAACAAAATATGGCAGATTTTCCTGCAGTGGCTGAGTGTGTGGCTTGTGTCAGTCACTTTCGCTCTATGGAGAAGATCTACATGTGGTGCTGGGTGCGGAAGACAGGTCACAGGAAGTGTGTCTTATCTCTTAGGTGCCGGGGCTATTCTCATCCCTCGTCTGGACATCGTGATCTCCTTCGTGGGGGCCGTGAGCAGCAGCACGTTGGCCTTGATCTTGCCGCCCCTTGTGGAGATCCTTACATTCTCTAAGGAACATTATAACATATGGATGGTCCTGAAAAACATTTCTATAGCATTCACTGGGGTGGCCGGCTTCGTGCTGGGGACGTATGTGACTGTTGAAGAAATTATTTATCCAACTAGCAGAGCTGTAGCCCCACAAGGCCCCTTTCTGAATCTGAACTCCACGTGCTCAGTGTCTGGGTTGGAATAGTGGGAGCAGAGCCTCCTGCTCTGCTGCCTCAGTCCTGAAAAGAACTATGAGCCAGAGAGATCGTTGCTATCAACTGAAAAGCAACATCAAGGTCTCTACAGTTCAGGGCATTAATGGTTTGACAGTGAACTGGACTTCCTTAGTGGTGGGAAACTGTGGCAGTCTTGGTTTTATTCAGTAGCAATGCCACTTTAAAAATTAGCTTTGAAAGTTGGAAAATTGAAGCAGTTAGATAATAAACACAAACACCTTATTCTCCATTTCTGTAAGGACCTCTTTGACCAAGCGATATCTTTCTTACCGCTGTGCCCGTCTTCTGCCCCAGTTGGGAAGATAGGGTTCACAATTTGGAATCTATAAGGACTCAGCAAATCCTCTCTCTAGACCCTTCCACTGCACATCAAAGTAAACTTTATGTGTGTGTGGAACATGAGAACTATGTTGATTGGGTTTTTATTAGGCAGCTACTACTGGCAGCCCGAGAGCATAGATTCCCATCAGCCATCATGTGAACACAGAGCGTTCCCAGAGCTGGACGTGCTCTAATGCTGTCCAGGCAGCTGGGTCTCATAGTCTCTGGAAAGCGCTGAGCAAGGTTCTTATGTCTCCATTGCGTTTGAAAAGGCCTCTGAAGTTCCCGACCACAGCTTCCTTGCTTTTCACTGTAGGAAACAGTCCCAGAAATGGTAGGTGACTTGGTCAAGAGCACTCAGCTTTCAGATCATGAGAATCTGACCATTTGACCCCAGGCAGGAATTTTAAAAAATTATTTCTTCATGTCATAACTAAGAAGAAAAAAATTGCATTCAGTTTAATTTTAGTGTAGAGTCTTTAATTTTTTCATCCTTGAGAGTGCATGCATGATCCTTAAGTAGTGTGTGTGACCAGAACAAAAAACCAGGAAACTCAGAATCCTGCCTGGTGGCCTCATAGGCCTTAACCACGAAAAGAAGTTAAGTTCCTTTAAATATCAGGAGCCCAGCTGACAACCTGTAGAGTATACTGCTCACAGGAAATGAGGTTTCCCTCGACAGCAGGAGGTGCCGGCTTGCTGTGGGGTTTGCTGGCACACTCTTCTAGGTTGTGAGGCACCACAGATACTTAATTAAATGCAGGATTTGGGACCCTCCCAGCCTTGAGGCTCTCCTTACCCAATCTTCCATTGATATGAACTGGCAGAGTAAAGGAACTCTAAAATGCATGCTTAGGAAAAATCAAAACAATAAACTGTCTAGTAAATATTGAGATACTCCAAGTATCATCCAGAGAAATACCATCCAACACTCCATCTCCAAACACACATAGTAGCCAAAACAGATTCTCATTTGACAGTAAAGATGAAAATTACAACGTTTAAAGGATTAGATATAGGACTGACTTCTGATTTTTTAAAAAGAATCCACACTTGTAAAGCATGAACTTTTAAACCACCTACAAGTACTCTGTTCCTCTGTAAGATGCCCTGAGGCTCTTTCTGGATAGCCTCTACTTTTCTATGTAAATGTTAACTTATGCAGGTATTTTTGCTTACATCATTACCTTGTCTTCAAGGATGAGCCGGAAACTACCAGAAGCTTTATTTTGGTACAGATTCATAAGAACCAAAACTTTAAAAACTTTCATGTTATATATTTCCAATAATGGTTTATGATGCTTTTTATCAAATCTGTTACATTGAGCCATCAATCTTACTAAGAAAAGGTTATAGGGAAAATAATTTGGAACGGTAAGAAATATATTAGATGTTTCAAGTTTTGACGCCGGCATGTGAGTTAGAAACTGTTTAATAGCAGGCAGCATCAGGCTCTTTCTGTTATATTTCTAGGCTCTATGTGCAATTTTATTTTTTGTTTGTTACCTGTTGTTTATTTTTTTATGAGATTGACCAAGTGCAATGAACTTTCAAATAGTGGGTCATAAGAGTAAATACTTTTAAAATTCAGCGCGAGTATGTGCATACACACATACACACACACACACACACACACACACACACACACACACAGACACACACACACAGCGTCAGCATGTTATCTGCCAGAATTTCTTATGCATTAAGAATACAAATCAACAGTCTTTACTGTAGTCCCCAAATTATCCAGACGAGGAAAACTGGAAACGTAGACAGGAAGGCAGGCTACCGAAGAGGAAGTCATGTTAATCCTTAACTAGGAGCGCTGTTTAGAGATGCAAAGTGTAAAATAAATGCACTCTTATATAAGGATTTGGTGACGTTAATCATTGGATAATTTTTCTCTAAACATCAGTTTTTACTGAGTCATATTTTCTGAAGACTGTTTTTGAGAAAATTTTGATCACATCAACTGTTGATTTTGTTTGGGGCCTGGAGAAATGGGAGCAGGCCCACCTGTTGAACTTCTGTCTGCTCTCTGGGTCCACACTCTGGCTGAAACCACCCTGTGGTTATTTCCTGTCACAGTGAGACACTGTCTTGAGAGAGAGATAGTTGCCAGTTTTCACTGGAGAAGTGGCAAAGAACAGCTCCTGTTCACCCTGACAGGCTCTGTCTACTCTTGACTGGTTATCTTCTCCCTGACACTCTGAGGAGCTGTCTGTCCACATCTGAGTCCACTTGCCAAAGCACAGATCCACAGAGCTTTTAACGCAGGATTCTCCCCCACGTGGCCATGTCTCTTCACTGTTAAAGAGATAGGAACTAGGAGGCTTTCTTGGCTTATGGTATCACCTCAAGAAAACAAGTCCTGTTTGCAAATTCGGCATCACATTCCTGACCTGCTCTCATGGACTCTTCTTTATCAAAGCCACGTGGATGCTTGCCTCACTGCTGCAGTTAGGGTTTTCATGGGCAGTTCATGACTGTGTGCTTGTAAATTTCCTAATTGAATTTGGTTTTGCTCAGTGTCTCTGTAATAGTTCCACTTCAGAGCCCTTAGAAATATTAACTTACGTTCTACATTAGTGCCATGTCCCCACAGACTTCAGCCTGGTTCCTGCACAGTACATTTGGGTATTGACAGCATGCACCCTAAAGGGGAGCTCTTGACCTTAGCTCCTTGTATGTCATTCAGAAGGGGAACATAGAGTGGAGCCAATGGAAATGTCAATAAAGTTGTTTCTGTGCTATCAGTGGCTCAGTAAATGTTAAGAAATACAATAACTTGTTAAGAATATAAAACATTGATAGTATATAACTATAAAATTGTGGAAATGGGTTTATTTTGTTCAGTTTGGCTCAGTTAGACCCTAAGAAAATTTGAGAAACTGATCTAAAATGTATAACAAGAGGTTTTTTTTTTAAAAACATTAAATGGCTTACTGTTACTTGAACATCTTTCTGAATCTGGTTGGTTTCGACCTAGGAGGTAAAAAGAAATATTGTTAGGAAATGGTTAAGCCTGGCATTTATTGTTCAGTAAGTGAAATGACAAATCACCCCATTATTCTAATTTTCTGTTAAAACTGACTAGTTTCTGTGGGCATGTGTGTTCCCTATAAGACCCACACCCGCACCGTCCATCTGAAGTACTCTACCACAGATGGGGCTAGTTGATGCTGTATTGAAAAGATCACTCTGAAAATATCGCATCAGAGATTTTTTTTTTTCAGAACACATAGGAAAATACATGTTCATACCATGAAAAATTCAAACTATATATTTTTGTTTTTCAAAAATGATTTTCTTGTTTCATTGAAAGCCAAATGTCGAGCTCGTGCCATATTCTTGTAATTTATTTTCCTCTGTAAAAGAATTTTGGGGGAAAATCTGTCTTTATGTACTGTGTCTTCTGAATCTTCAATAAAGTATAATTATTTTGCCTGCAAATGAATGCCTTTTAAGTTTGTCATTTATAAGGTTAAATGATATGAAAAACACAACTGAAAATGACATTACTGTAATATTTTCTTTTATTAAAGTTTTTATTTTAAAATTATTTCTAATCATTGTTATTGTGTACATGTATATGATGTGCATGTATGTGTATGTTCATGTACCACAGCACATGTGTAGCGTCATAAAACAACTCTGTGGACTCAGTTCTCTCCTCCCACATTCACGTGGGTGGGTGCTGAGGATTGAGCTCAGTTGTTAGATTTGTGTGGCAAGTGTCTCTAGTCACTGAGCAGTCTTTCTGTCTCTTCCTCTTAATAGTGTTTTTAATTTTAAATTTCATTATTATTTTTGTGTATGTTGGGTAGTTTCAAAATAGAATAACCGATCTTTATGGTTGGTTCTTTGTCATACTGAATATACCTGTTAAAGACCTCTAACCTTAAGAGTAGAGGATTAAAATGAAAAGATGAGCTCAAAGCCTGTGCAGGGCTTCCTGCTGAGTGCGGAGCCTGCAACCCACTGAAGCTGCATCCGTGACTGCATTTGCCACTTCCTTAACTTCAAAAAATCTGAAAGGACAGTAGTGCTGCAGAGATGCTCAGCCGTTAAGAGCACTGGCTGCTCTTGCAGAGGCCCCGGGTTCGATTCCCAGCACCGCATGGTGGCTAACAACCATCTGTAACTCCAGTTCCAGGGGATTCAACGCTCTCTTCTGACCTCTGTGGGCATTGTACAACATGGGTGCACTTACACACACACACACACACACAGGCAATACACTCGTACAACGTAAAATAAAAATAAAGAAAGGATAGTAAATGTCACCACAAAGAACTGGTAAACTGGGCTGATGATATGTCAGTACTGACATGATACTACACATGGTATACATGCATTGAATCTTCACAGTGTAGCCCATAAATATGTATGATTTCTATGTGCCATCTAAAAAAAATAAAACATTTTGGTAGGAAAAAACCCTCAAAGCAAGCATATATTGATCATTTTGCTTGCACTATAAAAATAGAGCAGTGCTTTGCAAAAGCATCCCTCCAGCCCGTGTCAAAGGACACCGAGGTGTTCATGCCTTCACTCCAGGAATCCTGCCTCGTGAACTTGACACAAGGAGCCCTCCAAGTTCACGAGAGACTCTGCCTTGGGATGCATTCAAAGTGCAGGTTTTAGCAGTGAAAAACTGGAAGCAACCGAAATGTTTAGTACCACAAAGTTGTAAATTCTGGTGTCTTATTCAAGAGGATGATGGAGAGTATAAGAATTATATTGCAGTTAAAATGTTGACTAATTTGCTCACCATTAATTAATTTTCAATTGCAGGTCTGTAAAAATATGGTTTGGGGCCAAGACAAGCTATGCCAAAAATGTTAGGATAATTCTTTCCTAAATATGGCATATTCTAATAGAATAAAGAAATGGGTTTTAGTATTTTTAAGTGGGTAGTCAGAAGAGGAATGTGAAAGGGTAAAGAAAAGTGCTCTGGGCACGAAATGGAGTTTCTAAACCTTAGAGCTGGGGTGTAGCTTAGAGGCGGAGTGGATGCTTCCTGTGTGTGAGGCCCTGGGCTCATTCCTCAGCACCAAGAGAAAAACTAAAGAACCACATTCACAACAAACCACAGCTGTGTGTGGGGCACATCAGGAAGCTAAGGCAGAGGGGTCTGAAATTATGGTCTGGACTATATAGGAAGACCTGGTCTCAAAAGCAGAAACAGTAAATAAAAACGCTCTGGAAGAGGATACACTCTGACCCACCACAGAAGAGCTAAAAGATCAGTTCCTCTCCTCACCTCATCTGTCCGTCTTTCCCTCCGTCCTTGTTTAGGGGGTGTCGGGGATTGAACCCACAACCCCTTGTGCATGCTATAAATATGCTGTCACTGAAATACATCTATAGCCTAGGAGGAACCCCATGGGGTAGTCAGAGGGAAAAATGTAGCATAGAAATTCATTTCTTTCAAATGTACAAGATCTTCAGAATAACTGTACTTAGATATAATTGTGTTTGAATATTTTGCATGCAGAAATGATGCTCACTATTGCTGTTACATGGGCTGCTGGGAAAGGTTTCCTGGACAGGGTGGAGTGTCTTTTTTGAAGAACATACTAGGCTCAGTTCCTGTGTCGGGAGATTGTCTGATGGTTTGAAGTGGTGAGAGGCAATTGGGGCTCTTGGTCTTTGTAGAGCTCTGGTCCTAAACTTCTGCTGATGTGACTGTTGCTAAGGAATTAGGGCTCTGTCTTGTTAATCTTCGTGCTGCAGTTTGATCTGTGCTGAAGAATGGATGGACTGTGGGCACCCCACCTGCACTGGGGAGCAACAGATGTGCCAGGCCTACCAAGGCTGAGCAGGTTCAAAGTAGCAAAGAGCCAACAGATCACACTCAGGCCAACAGCCCAGCCACGGGACCCTTCCATTTGTTCCCGCAGCGTCTTTGCAACTCCAGTACCTAAGTACACCGCAAGGGTAGAGAAAACTAAGGCTGGGACACCTGATCCTGCCTCTGTACTCCCCCCCCCCACTCCGGGCTGTACCAAGGCCGGGCCCCTGAGGTACACACTAGCACCCTGCAGTGACAGCGACACCACAGACAGGCTGCCCTCCCCCTCCTGTGCTGACATGCTGCTCCCTCTACTTCCTCCCAATCCTTTCTTCCCATCAACCCTTGTTTTCTCTTCCCTTTACCCTCACCTCTGCCCAGAATGAATGGTGTGCTGTTTCATTGTTATCTATTTACTCATTAACTTGCCTCGTCTCTGGCAGCCTCCCCTACACAGTATATGCGCCAAAAGGGAGGCAGCTTTGTGTTTGCTGGTGCATAGGAAAGCATCAGGTACAGACTCAAAACAATTGGTGA